GATGATTTGGGGGGGGGGGTATCTTTTTAATAGGTTCCTATCCTTTTGGTCCTGTGTTTATTGTAAGGGGTGATGTCACTTTGCAGGTTTTTCCAAAAAGTGCTTAATTTTTATGTATATTTCAAAATTTCAAAGGTATCTACTGGGGTATAGGCCTACTGGTAAATACAAGGCCCTATAGCTATCATGTTACTAAATTAGTGCACCGACCTCAACAATAATTCTCACTCCCGTCCTCCCCACTCCCCACACACCCACTCCCGAAGACCCTAAACCCCCACCCCGCCCCAGACAGCGAAGCCTGCGACGGAAACATATTTCTGTCAAAATTTAAACAATTGTGTTAGTTGTGAAGTGGAGCACAATTAATGTAATGTGAACCGATTTTAGCGACACTTGTGGCAATGTCTAAAACAAGACAAGGCCAACACATATTTCACACAAATCAATTATATTTGAAAAAGAAGTTTGGCTGTCGTTTTGTATGATGCGTGTTAAATTATTTATAGGAAGCATGAAAAATCGTTCTTTCATTTAATGTGGCTGAGTTGTCTTATGTTACTTGTCTTGAAGCGACATCTATAGTTGAAGGTATCCATAGAAACAAGGCGGCCATTTTGTTTTCATTTATCAAGACTAATTTTTATTTTGCATGCGAGAATTATTGATTATTCTACTCAGAAGACAGCATCGTGTGTCATGATTCGACAAATGGGTTTCTAAGTCTATTAAACAGTCTGTGGCCAGTGATACTGAGGATATCATATGTGAAAGATGAGCGCAATTACAGGAATAAGGTGGGCTGTTTGAAGCGATTTTTTTTGCGAATGAATTTTTGTTTAATTGTTATAGTTTATTTTTGCAGAAAACCATGTGGATTTCGGACAGTGACTTATCTGTTTGAAAATTAAAAAACAAAGAATATGCCGTGTTAAATGAACTTCTATGTTCTGTGTGAATGTAAGAGGGTTAGATTTGTACATAACTTATTTAATACGTAGCTATACATCTCCGTTTTAAGTACTTTCCTAATAATTTTAATGTAATATTTCATTTAAACGGAAGGGAGGGGGGGATGAAGGGTTATTGTAATTCCTATTTTCATTTAAAGTTGTTTGCTTTCAAGTAATTTGTTATGTATCATCATGCTCAGAGCACATTAAACTTTCTTGTTAAAGTATTTTAGAAAAGTTTTAACATTATTTATAGCCAAATAAGCTCAGTTACCCTGAGTTCAGCAGAACAAGCTCAGCAGGCTCCACCAGCAGAACTTCCCAAGGCAAGCGAGGACTGCATTCTGTTCTTGGAAAATATAGGTAAAACACCAGTCTGGGCTTGTGCATGCATGTGCATGTTTGCGCATGTGTGTGTGTGTGTGTGTGTGTGTGTGTGTGTGTGTGTGCGCGTGATTTTGTATAGATGGAAGTATTTTCTGGTCATACATGTATGAACAATCAGGAAAATGTGAAAATTTCTTTTTAAAGAAATCAAATTGGCCAAAGTACTATAATCATGTTCAGCTGTCTCCTCTTTCCAGTGACACATGTATAAAGCATTAAACAACAGGTCTACATAAAGCCAACTAGATTACAGTGGTTGAAAAGGATCTGATCAAATTAGAAGGAATAAAATAAGGAATAAAATAAAATCAGCTCTGTACCCTTCATAGCACTGTGCATAGGAAGACAGCTCATTACACTGAGATCTGTGTCTACTGTAGTCCTTTTAAAAAATTAGAACAGAATAAAATCAATAATAACATATTCCTGAGTTCAAGTTCACTTCCCAAATCTCTTAGACTTACTCAGTGTGATCTTATGATACAGACTGGAATATATCTAAGTACTGGAAACTAGTGTGAATATTCATCAGTATGTCATCTAGTCTGTTGTAGTGATATTATTTTTTATGAACAGAGATAAGGACACTGAAGGTGGCAATTGCTACAGGATTATTGATTTTCTTCACAACTGTCTGTCAGGAGATCATATGTTAGAGTAGGTTTACAATGATAGACTTGCTGGAGATGGGTTGTATACAGTATATATCTAGTATATCAAGTATATCTGGTCTATCTAGTCAATTGAGTTACAGCTAAATGATAAAATCCCTCTGCTGCACGTATGTTATATCCACTTTTTCTTTACTTTTTATATCGTTTCTGTCTCATTTACTACCAAAATACAGACCTTCAGATTGTAAAATCAGATGAATTTTTATTAGGCTGTATTCCCAGAGCTTTTAGATCGATCTATCCCCGCGTCAGATAATCCTGCTTAAATGTCTGTCAGATAATCCTGCTTAAATGTCTGTCACGCCTACTACAAGCTGTAAGGGGGTAATTAACTTTCATGTCTGCTTGGCTGACAGCTATTTAGCGTGAACCCCCAGGGAATTAGGTAGATCTAATCTCTGGAAATGGGGTCTTAGATACTGTTTAACTTGCATCCTTTGCTGTCAGTCAGATGTAAAGTTAGATGAGATCAGTGATACCCAGCCAGGCCAGCATTGACCTGTGTTGGGAGATCAGTGGATCATGTCAGATTTCAGTTATTTTCCTTCAAAATTTTCACCAAAGATTGAGTAGAAACCCCCAGAGTGCAGGATACGGCATTTGCATGTCAAGTATGACAACATCATTTCAAGTATAGATGAGTATCATATCTATCTTGGCCCCAGTTTGCCAGTTTTGATAAGATAAAATTGCTGGTCTGTGTATTGCTAGGGGAATATCTAACATTAATGTCTGTTATTGACTATGTATAGATTAGCTTAGGTGTCAAATGTTGATTTCTTAATTTGTATAGGTTATCAGTCTGATCAGTAACTGTTCTACACAGGCCACTAGTTGCTGTTTATCAGAGAGAAACCATTATTGTGATTTATCTGGATTGCCTGTATGTTGATGTATGTTGATTTATCTGGATTGCCTGTATGTTGATGTATGTTGATTTATCTGGATTGCCTGTATGTTGATGTATGTTGATTTATCTGGATTGCCTGTATGTTGATCTTCCACAGGTGACTCTTTATTTGGTCTCTGTTTTCTGGGTTTGTATTTGTGCATGCATGTACGTTTGAGTTGTTTCATGATCTTCAGCCTTTCTGGTCCAAACTTGTTGTGTATATATATTTCAATTGTTGTGTGCCTCAGTAACTTTTCAATGCCCCAAAATATAATATACTATCAAAATAAAAAATACAAAGTCACAAAATTTTGAAATGTATATAGAAAGTCTGCCCTAACCCCATCATATTGTGCATGCTGCCTCAGCTCATATTGTAAAATAGTGCCCTCTATCTGTTGTTCTTCCAGATGATGACGACTACAAGTACCTTATGTTTGGTGACTCACTGGTGACAGTGTCTGATACCGGCCGGGAGCTGGGAGAGTTCACCGTCACCATAGAGCCAGTGAAGCGGGATGAGCAGCACGTATTTCTGATTCATGCTAACAGCCACGGTGCCATAGATGGCGTGCCGTGTGGGACGTCCATCACGGCATATGTTTCTAAGAAACTGGAGACCATAGAGCAGCAGCACCATGAATATGTGAAGGTAGGTGACTTATAGACCCACTGGAAGTTGTAAGATACTCTTCTCCAGTTACCCAGATAATTGTCTTTGGCTTATGTTTTATTTTCAAGTACAAGCCCTGGCAATAGTGTAGTTCTGCAGTTGATGCTATCCAGTGTTTTTGTGAGGAATGTACAGATATTTTACACACAGACAGGTTACCTTTGTACTAAAATGTCACAGTTATAGCTAGTAAATTGATGTGAGGATATGATGATGGGTTTATCAGTTTTATCTACTTTCAGAATGCTGTTCATTGTTTGTCTGATGTTTTTATGGTTTTGTATTTTAGTTGGAGAATCATCCTTTAGACAGAAAAACATTTATAGTGAAGCAAGATGATGGGTTTGTTATCAACAGGGTCATCACACAAGGGGAGGTGAGGACTTTTTACCTTACTAGTACTTGATAAAATGTATGTATTGGACTTGCTCTTGTATAATTTGGTATTACTGGGCCAGCTAGAGAGAATGCTGATAATAGATGAAAATTGTGGGTCAGGACTGTGATGGTGTGCCAGAGAAAAAGAGAATGGCTGAAATTATTCCATTTGGCTTATATTTTATTTATTTGACTTAATTCATGTACACTGTATAATGGGATCACTCATATGAATATTGAACATTAATTATTCCATTCTATTTTCTTGTTGTTCAACTGTGGATGTTAGGAGATTCCTTGGGTGTATTGAGAGTAGTTAAACTAGTATTGTCAGATGTTTAAAGTTTATAGTGGATTATATTTTTCAGTCACTGTATATGAATGTGGACTTCATAATAATTTATGCCTTTTCTGTCTTTTATTTTCTAAATGTATTCATTGAATGGTTTCAGGATGTCCAGAGAACAGCACAAACTTACAAATTTGACGACATGGCAGGGTTTATATCTGAAGGTAAAAGTTGACTTTTTTCAAGTATTTCTTAAAAGAAAGGAAATAGTTTTTGCTTTAGTTGTGGCAGTTGAAAGTGTGGGGTTTGTATAAATGTACTATTCTGTGATGGTTTTGTATTTTCCAGTGCAGTCCCCCAGTTACTGATGTGAGATGTTATGTGGTCTGTTTTTCCAATGCAGTCCCGCCCATTACTGATGTAACATGTAATGTGTTCTGTATTTCCAGGCTCCAACATGCTACTGATGTAACATGTAATGTGTTCTGTATTTCCAGGCTCCAACATGCTACTGATGTAACATGTAATGTGTTCTGTATTTCCAGGCTCCAACCTGCTCCTCCAGAGACTGTTTATCAAGAAGGGAGTTCCAGACCTGTTTGAATGTTTATCATTTGACTCGGACCTGAACCTGTGCACTGCACCCTATGTATGTGGCTTATTGTTTATCATTCATCTCAGACCTGTCTAATGTAGGCTATGGACATTATTGATAGATTGAGACCATATCACTTCTGTAATTCATTAAGGTACACTATCTGTACTTAAAAATGGTCCAAAGTGATACTTTATGTCTACATAACCTACAGAGCTTGTTTTAATTCTTTCCCAGTTCAGACCTTGAACATGATAAAATCCCTCAAATAAAAGTACCTGATGTCAGTATTTCCTGCTGTTTAACAAACTTCACTCAAAGTGTCATTCAGACATCTGCAGACTTGTGGTTATTTGAGTGGTTTATCTGTTGACCTTCACCTTGGCTGATCTTGACCTTCATTTCACCTTGACCTTTGTTCCAGAGAGCCTTAGAGGAGAGGAAGCAGATAGTGGATAACCAAGACATTGTGGTTCATGGCATTGAGAGGACCATTAACTCTATCAGTGATCTGCCTACAACATGGCAGTCCTACTTTACCAAAGATGGGTAAGTTTATGCTACATCCTGTATTATATATATATATATATAGAGAGAGAGAGAGAGAGAGAGAGAGAGAGAGAGAGAGAGAGAGAGAGAGAGTTATTTGCCCACCACATGGTAGTCAGTTAGTTCGTCATGCTATTTTCTGTATGCTGGGCAGTAACAGTAAACAACATCATATTCTGTTGTCACTGCTGGGCAGGTTGGAGCTCAGCACATAGTAAACTGCGTTAGTTGTGACTGTTAGTTGTGACACAAATGCCTATAACGAGAATGAGAAGATATCTAAATGCTTTAGTTGTGATAAAGTTGCTGTGTATCTGAATCATTTAAGATTTGTTCTGACTTACAACAATACAGTTTTAATTTAGTGTGAAAAGTTCCTTTACAGTAATATGTTCTTACAGAGATGATCAAACTGATGATACATGATTATTTTAATAGAAGAATATTTTCCATAACTAGAATATTTTACATTCAAATTTTGGAAGAATTGATGACATATCTTCTGTTTTCCTTCTTAATTTCTTCTTTATCATATTTTCAGACATTTGACAAACCGTGTGCAGGTTGGATCTCCAGTCACCATGAGGTTAACTAGAGTCCCCACACCTATAGAACCTGGTAAGTGTGTGTGTGTGTGTGTCCGGAGAGAGAGAGAGAGAGAGAGAGAGAGAGAGAGAGAGAGAGAGAGAGAGAGAGAGAGAGAGAGAGAGAGAGACCTATAGTTAATTTGTGTAAATTTTTTTTTAAAGTTTTAATGTAAATTTTACTTCAATCCCATGTTGTACACATATATATTTCCTGGCTGTTTATTGTTGCACTGTGCACCAGCACCTATAGTGGTATATGTACAGGGAGGTGGCTCATGTTGTGTATGGTGGATATATAGGTATATATATTGAATATGTATTGTACAGGTGGTGTTGGTACTGTGGGGACATGTGATGCTGGGCTGTAGCATACAGATATGATACTATGTCAGTGAGTTACCATGCTGTAAACCAACTTGAGCCCAGCTCTGTTTTTTTGCTTTGTTTTTTTTTTAAATAAAACTGTTTTGGACTTTGCTCTCAAACAAAAACATTTCACCTCCACATCCTGTGTCCATGGCAGTTGTGTCATTGCAGTGAAACCCTGACCTTCCTGAGCATCCTGATACTAAAACAGTTAGACTGGGTTCCCATTCCAAGATGGATCTAACAGGATCGATCCACCTATAAGGGTATTTTTGCTAAATTGCTTTCAGCTTAAGCAGCTTAAGCGCCTACTGAAGCTGATAGGGGGTAATTAGACATTTAAGCTGCTTAAGTTGATTGCAATTTAGCAAGAATCTCCATGGAGATAGATCGATCCACAGTTAGTAGGATAGGGTCTTGGAATGGTCCCTTAGAGTTCAGGCGGCAACCTGAGTAGTCTCGGTGGTGTGAGTGTCATGGATGTTGTGTATGTTTTCTTTCCAGATGAGGAACCAGAGAAGCCAACATTTGGCAAGCAGCCTCTGAACTGGGAGGAAGACATGGAGATGTATTCTAAATTCCTGGACAGAAAGGTATACAACCCCACATCACCATAGGATACTAGTGGAGCTCATATGTGTGGCACTTTAAGAATGAGTTCTTGGGAAATTAGGGTTAAACTGGGTTTAATTGTGGGTCAACCCTGATGGTTACCGTAATGCACATAGTGGTGGCAGCCCGCTGACAGGGAGATGTTACGTTTTTACAATTTTTGCTGTAATGCACATAGTGGTGGCAGGGATATGTTAAATATTCACAGTTGACATTGTTGTGTTGTTTGCACTCTCACTTCGTGTAAGTATACCAGTTCATGAAATCAGTTGAAAACTAAAAGATGGTAATGTCTCCATGTCTCCTTCCGTCTTTCAGGAGCAGCTGGTGAATGATCATACTGTTTACATGAAGAAGCATCCAGAGCTCAAGGCTCTCCTGGCAGACTTTACACAATTCTTGTTGCTACGGAAACCTGATGACGTCATATCATTTGCTGCGGACTATTTCTCCTCTTTCTCCACCACTATGAAGTCAGCTTCTCCGTATCTGAAGTCTGCAGAACCCACCATGTTCCCGATGAGCAGGACAAATACTAAAATTGAGAAACTAGCACAAGTCAAGGCATCTGGAAATTTGTAAAAAAAAATATTCGATTTAAATGATTTAGCTTGAAGCTTTGGGGAAACAGTTAACAGTAAATTATAGATATTCAAGAATGTGACATCTTGATATAAGCCATGACAACAGAAGGTCATAGTATCATTAAGTTTTAGTACGGCGACTTCATAAACGTAATGAACAGTGTTATGACCTCGTGATGAATGTGCGAGCACCGACTTCATAAATGTGGTGTTGTACCTGGTGACTTGCACCACTGTTGTTATGGAGATGGGTGTGACGTAATATATATGAAGTTGTATGACGTACTTAAAATGACAATTTGATCTTGTATGAAATGGTCAAAAACATACCTAGATGAAAATGTCTGAATTGCGAAATGTGAAAAAAAGTTGAAAAAAAATTTGGAAAAGAAGAAAATGACTGATTTCCCGGGCTACCTGTCTGAACTCTCGTAGGCGGCGCTGTGTTCATATAAGCCTTCAGTGGATTTGAAGTCGAGAGAACAGTGGCGGTTCTAGAGCTTCATTGACTTTCACGACCCCGACTGCGGACTTTGAATACATTGTAAGGCTTCTGTTGTCGTGACCGAATTCTAACACTGATGTGTTCATTGGAAATTATGAATACTTTTAGATCCTCTTTTTAACCTAGCAAATTTGCATGAACATGTTTTGTTGTATATTGTTATGTATATAATAGTGTAAATAAAATAATAAAAAGAAAAATGTCATTTGTTTATTTTGTTTTAAATGTCATATCTATATTCTTGAACTCGATATTTAAAATCTAATGGACCCGAGACATATAAAAACCACTATTTCTATTGGTACGGTATCCATATTTTGACCATGTGTAGCAGAAAACAACCATGTCGTGTTTGGTGAAATTTCACAACCTAAACTCTGACAAGTTGCCTCGAGCGTGGGTTATGTGACAAAAATCTTAATTAAATCTCCAAGCACGCGGCATGTGGAAACCTTCCAACAGCCTGCCACGGCAGTGTGACGCGGGTAGTGACTGGAAATAATCACTGTTGTATAACAACGAGTCGTGCCACGTGCTATTGGAAATCATAGTAGTTAGTACTGGAACTGTNTTTTCACCAAAGATTGAGTAGAAACCCCCAGAGTGCAGGATACGGCATTAGCATGTCAAGTGTGACAACATCATTTCAAGTATAGATGAGTATCATATCTATCTTGGCCCCAGTTTGCCAGTTTTGATAAGATAAAATTGCTGGTCTGTGTATTGCTAGGGGAATATCTAACATTAATGTCTGATGTGCGCTATGTATAGATTAGCGTACTAGTAGATGTCAAATGTTGATTCCTTAATTTGTATGTATAGGTTATCAGTCTGATCAGTAACTATTCTACACAGGCCACTAGTTGCTGTTTATCAGAGAGAAACCATTATTGTGATTTATCTGGATTGCCTGTATGTTGATCTTCCACAGATGACTCTTTATTTGGTCTCTGTTTTCTGGGTTTGTATTTGTGCATGCATGTACGTTTGAGTTGTTTCATGATCTTCAGCCTTTCTGGTCCAAACTTGTTGTATATATATATTTCAATTGTTGTGTGCCGCAGTAACTTTTCAATGCCCAAAATATGATATGCTATCAAAATAAAAAATACAAAGTCACTAAATTTTGAAATGTATATAGAAAGTCTGCCCTAACCCCATCATATTGTGCATGCTGCCTCAGCTCATATTGTGAAATAGTGCCCTCTATCTGATGTTCTTCCAGATGATGACGACTACAAGTACCTTATGTTTGGTGATTCACTGGTGACAGTGTCTGACACCGGCCGGGAGCTGGGAGAGTTCACCGTCACCATAGAGCCAGTGAAGCGGGACGAGCAGCACGTGTTTCTGATTCATGCTAACAGCCATGGTGCCATAGATGGCGTGCCGTGTGGGACGTCCATCACGGCGTATGTCTCTAAGAAACTGGAGACCATAGAGCAGCAACATCATGAATATGTGAAGGTAGGTGACTTATAGACCCACTGGAAGTTGTAAGATACTCTTCTCCAGTTACCCAGATAATTGTCTTTGGCTTATGTTTTATTATCAAATACAAGCCCTGGCAATAGTGTAGTTCTGCAGTTGATGCTATCCAGTGTTTTTGTGAGGAATGTACAGACATTTTACACACAGACAGGTTACCTTTGTACTAAAATGTCACAGTTATAGCTAGTAAATTGATGTGAGGATATGATGATGGGTTTATCAGTTTTATCTACTTTCAGAATGCTGTTCATTGTTTGTCTGATGTTTTTATGGTTTTGTATTTTAGTTGGAGAATCATCCTTTAGACAGAAAAACATTTATAGTGAAGCAAGATGATGGGTTTGTTATCAACAGGGTCATCACACAGGGGGAGGTGAGGACTTTTTACCTTACTAGTACTTGATAAAATGTATGTATTGGACTTGCTCTTGTATAATTTGATATTACTGGGCCAGCTAGAGAGAATGCTGATAATAGATGAAAATTGTGGGTCAGGACTGTGATGGTGTGCCAGAGAAAAAGAGAATGGCTGAAATTATTCCATTTGGCTTATATTTTATTTATTTGACTTAATTCATGTACACTGTATAATGGGATCACTCATATGAATATTGAACATTTATTATTCCATTCTATTTTCTTGTTGTTCAACTGTGGATGTTAGGAGATTCCTTGGGTGGTTTTGAGAGTAGTTAAACTAGTATTGTCAGAAGATGTTTAAAGTTTATAGTGGATTATATTTTTCAGTCACTGTATATGAATGTGGACTTCATAATAATTTATGCTTTTTCTGTCTTTTATTTTCTAAATGTATTCATTGAATGGTTTCAGGATGTCCAGAGAACAGCACAAACTTACAAATTTGACGACATGGCAGGGTTTATATCTGAAGGTAAAAGTTGACTTTTTTCAAGTATTTCTTAAAAGAAAGGAAATAGTTTTTGCTTTAGTTGTGGCAGTTGAAAGTGAGGGGTTTGTATAAATGTACTATTCTGTGATGGTTTTGATTTTTTCCAATGCAGTCCTGCCCATTACTGATGTGAGATGTTATGTGGTCTGTTTTTTCAATGCAGTCCCGCCCATTACTGATGTGAGATGTAATGTGGTCTGTATTTCCAGGCTCCAACCTGCTCCTCCAGAGACTGTTTATCAAGAAGGGAGTTCCAGACCTGTTTGAATGTTTATCATTTGACTCGGACCTGAACCTGTGCACTGCACCCTATGTATGTGGCTTATTGTTTATTATTCATCTCAGACCTGTCTAATGTAGGCTATGGACATTATTGATAGACTGAGACCATATCACTTCTGTAATTCATTAAGGTACACTATCTGTACTTAAAAATGGTCCAAAGTGATACTTTATGTCTACATAACCTACAGAGCTTGTTTTAATTCTTTCCCAGTTCAGACCTTGAACATGATAAAATCTCTCAATTAAAAGTACCTGATGTCAGTATTTCCTGCTGTTTAACAAACTTCACTCAAAGTGTCATTTAGACATCTGCAGACTTGTGGTTATTTGAGTGGTTTATCTGTTGACCTTCACCTTGGCTCACCTTGACCTTCATTTCACCTTGAACTTTGTTCCAGAGAGCCTTAGAGGAGAGGAAGCAGATAGTGGATAACCAAGACATTGTGGTTCATGGCATTGAGAGGACCATTAACTCTATCAGTGATCTGCCTACAACATGGCAGTCCTACTTTACCAAAGATGGGTGAGTTTATGCTACATCCTGTATGATAGATATCTATCTAAATATATTATATATATATATATATATATATATATATAGAGAGAGAGAGAGAGAGAGAGAGAGAGAGAGAGAGTTATTTACCCACCACATGGTAGTCAGTTAGTTTGTCATGCTATTTTCTCCATGCTGGGCAGTAACAATAAACAACATGATATTCTGTTGTCACTCCTCGGCAGGTTGGAGCTCAGCACATCGTAAACTGCGTTAGTTGTGCCTGTTAGTTGTGACACAAATGCCTCTAATAAGAATGAGAAGATATCTAAATGCTTTAGTTGTGATTAAGTTGCTGTGTATCTGAAGCATTTAAGATTTGTTCTGACTGACAACAATACAGTTTTAATTAAGTGTGAAAAGTTCCTTTACAGTAATATGTTCTTACAGAGATGATCAAACTGATGATACATGATTACTAGTGTTTTAAAAGAAGAATATTTTCCATATCTAGAATATTTTACATTAAAATTTTGGAAGAATTGATGACATATCTTCTGTTTTCCTTCTTAATTTCTTCTATATCATATTTTCAGACATTTGACAAACCGTGTGCAGGTTGGATCTCCAGTCACCATGAGGTTAACTAGAGTCCCCACACCTATAGAACCTGGTAAGTGTGTGTGTGTGTGTTGTGTGTGTGTTACCATGAGGTTAACTAGGGTCCCCACACCCATAGAACCTGGTAAGTGTGTGTGTTATGTGTGTGTTACCATGAGGTTAACTAGGGTCCCCACACCTATAGAACCTGGTAAGTGTGTGTGTGTCCAGAGAGAGAGAGAGAGAGAGAGAGAGAGAGAGAGAGAGAGAGAGAGAGAGAGAGAGAGAGAGA